GAGGGCAACGCCCATCGAGCGAGGGCAGAACGTATTCACGTATGTTCTTTGGAGCGCCTGCGCCGTTGCCGTTGGATTGCAGACTAACAGTACAGCATGCAACGAACGTTCCTTCATCCAGGGCTGTTGCATGGTTCTCTCGTCGTCGCAGCATGTCAATGGGCATGGGTGACCGGATCTCTTGACCATGTCATGGTACCATTCCTTCACCACAAAGCAGCTGCGTACGAGTTTGCGCGGCAACAAGTCCTCGATCCAGAACAAGCATTTACAGAAACCACTGTTTTCGCCATTGCAACGCTGGCATTGGCAGAGGTATGCTTCGGACACGTGAAGGTTGGACGGATGAGGCAACTAACATGACTCGGAACAGGGGGCCATTGGTGACTTGGATGCATCCTCGAAGCACCTTCGAGGCTTGCACGAACTGACCTTGAGAAAGAACGGGTACAGCCTTGCCAAGCTCAATACCGCACAGCAAATGCTTGAGATGTAAGTGCTTCCGATGGCTGCATTGGAGGCACGTGATGCTGAATAGTGAGTGTATAGGGCAGGGGACCGACTGCAGAGGGGTGAAGTGGGAATACTCCATGATGTTATCGGGGCGGACTTCCAGCCAACGGTCATTGCTCTCTTGTTCACCTCATTATGGGATCTAGGCAGCCTGCCACCTAGGGAGGCGCCGCGATACGGCTGGTGGGAAGCCAACGAGACGAAGAGGGACAGACTCTGGCAGGGATACACAAAGAATCTCAACTGGGAGCTCTCGCGAGGCTTCGACCCACAGCACAACATCACAATGATGCTGAACAGCGACCCGAAGAGTAGCAGGGCGAGCTACATAGCTACCTTTTTCTACGTGCTCATGGCTGTCAACGACAGCCGCGTCGACTGCGTCCTGACTGTTTGGCTGTTGGAGCAACTCATTGATGACATCTGTCTCAAAGAGGAGGACATGGTAGCCGGGACTTTTAGCCGGCACCTCTGGCTCTGGAGTGTGCTTTTTGGGGCGGCCGTGGCCTCGGCTGGGCTGGCAACCGAATTTGAAGGCCAGCGGCAGCTCGATATGTGGAGGGCAGTATATGCTGGTAAGATTAAGCTAGTCAGCCGTTTGCTCAACTTGCGAGACTGGAAGGACACGAAGCAGTCGCTTGCTGAAGTCGCTTGGACTGAAGGCACCATGGCGGAGAGAAAGCTTCGGGAGATTTGGGAGGACGCTATGGGCAAAGAGCGCCTGCCCGAGATGCTGGAGATGCAAAAGCTGCTTGAGCTCACAAGCTTGGGAAGCGCCGAGGCATGACGGTATGAAAGCCACTTTGTAGATCCACAGCTGCAGCAAAAGCGGTTATCCCATTGTTTCAGATTTTTAGCATGGTTCAATGGCATGAGTATATCAATAGCGCCGTGGTAAGCGGGCCGCCGTCTTGAGTCTCCGGGCAGCGGAGTGAGGACTGAAGACTTGAGATTGGCCAGGGGTACCGAGGAATCATATCGGGGCAATCCCCCATGACAAATTTGCCTTCAAGAAGCCTCCAAAGATCGCGACGTAACATGTGGTCGAGAACAGGGCACGTGTGTCAAGAGCTGATGCTATGAAAGACCTGATCAGATAATCGCCTCCACAATTTCCACGATGACCTCGAAACAACGACTACGTACATGTGTGTGGACCACGAGCTACCTTACCTACCTAGGTACCTACCTTACCACACCCAGGTACCAAGGTATCTGGGTACCTTGGGTACTGTAGGTACCTAGGTAGGTATGGGAAGTAAGGCAGAGGAAAGTGAAGCCATGGAACATCACCTCTTCCTTCCTGCATTTGACACTTGTGATGCAGAGAGTGAGACGATACGGCATAGCCAGCACACACATGCGGGCAGGTTCAAATCGATCACACCTGCCAGGCTGGGTGGATGCTGTCAGTACATCGCACGACAGCTCCCCTCCTCCAGTCACTGCTCCTGTTTACTCCTTACCCCTCTTTGCCCCTTGGCCGCCCGCACAACAGGTGGCCCAGCGTCAAACACATCATCAACAAGGAGGCATTGGCGATATCATCGGAGCCGCAACGATTTGCTAAAGTTCTTGCGGAGTAGGGCGTATGACATTTTGCTCGCCCATGGCAAGGAGCCACTACGCCCGACTCCTGCGACGCCAAGCCCGCTGAGCAAGTGGCCATGGCCTGCATGAGCCCTCATGCAGCATCTGCAGGAATGGCCAGGCGATAAGCAAGCAATTGGTGAGGAGAGCATGTCGGTGCCAGAGCCGGTGTGCGTGCCAGTCACGTTGGCGTCGTCGGCGACCACTCGACGTTGAACACGCTTGACTCGCTGACACAACGGCAGATGGAGGAACATGTGCCGAGCGCTCAAGAGGTCACAGTCTCCGCCCTAGCCATGCGATCACCCACCCCGTTAACGCCAAGGGCGCCCGCCGGCTTGACGCTGGCTCGTAAGCCATACCCACCTCTGGCTTCTCCCGCACCAACCGTCTTCTCGTCGCCCTTCTTCCCGCCCTCCCGTTGACGCCGTTCCCGCACCATGAAACTCTGTCGCAGCGAAAACCTGCCAGAGCCACGACGTAGCGATTGTCGATTCGGTTTACTCCGTCCTTCCACGAAGAAACTTCAAACGTAATGTCCATGATCGACAGGACCGTCGAGTGGTGGAAATGAAGACGCGACATTAAATGACTCGGTGACATGAGGTCTCGAGTCGGGAAAACAGGGG